CCACCCCATCCCACCCCACACACACACAAAACCCTTTCATCCCATTCAAATCAGCTTTTGCCCTTCTCCTGTAGATCTTAAATCTCCCTGACGATTCTTACACTCCTAGAAGGCATAGATCAGTGTCATTTGATATTGCAGCCGAAGTCAACACATAATTTTCAAGTAATATTTTTGTTTCATAATATTCCAACTCTTCTTTTTTTTTTACGTAATAATATATAAAGTGTAATACCAATAGGAAATAAAATTAAGGCTGAAGATAAATAAAATCAATGAGAACTGTTTTTCTCCTGAAGCTTGACTCTTTAAGTTTACATAAGGCTTAGTAGCCTTTTCCATTTTAGGCAGCCGTGCGTTATCTTCCTTCCACCACATTGGAACTAAATACCACAATCCTTGGACAGATGTAAGTGCTATTCTCGAAACAGCACAAAAATTTGAAAATTTCAAGTTAAAATGTGAATTTTTAATGCCAATGAAAACCACTATGGCCCTATAATTTGAAAATCTTAGGCATACCATTAGCAATATGGTGCACTTACAACCCTACTTGAACTTATTAAACGAACAAACATTAACCTTGAAAGAGTAAAAGCAGCATAGCAACTACATTCAAGAGTGTTAGTGACCCTGCTGTTATTAAAGATTGATTATTAAAGATCTGGAAAATTTTAGATGGCATGACTTGTCTGAAAAATAGAAGAATGGTGCTAAATACTTTCAAGCTAGAAGGTGAGGCAGAAAGGTGGTGGCAGAAGCAGCATAGAGAATTTTCAACTGACACCTCTTCCACAAATTCAGTGGGAAGACTTTGTCAGTCTTCAAGAATTAGTTCATTCCAACTTAGCCAGATTAGCTTTATAATATAAATTCTTCAATCTGACTTACGGGTCCAGATCAATTATGCAATATGAGGCCAAATTCACTTTTCTTATGAGATATGCACCTCATTATGTCAGTACCTAGGAAGAAAATATCACATATTTAAGCGCAGCCTTGGTGAGAGGTTAAGGTTGACTTTGACGCCATTCGAAATAAGTGATTCTTAGTTCTAGCTGAAAGAGCCAGATGAATTAAAAATGAGCTAAATTTTTCTGGTCAGCGATGACAACCTCGATAAAAAACTTTACTAATAAAGAAAAAAAAGACCTATACCTATGATAATAAATTTGAAGCTATAGTGAAAGCCTCTATCACAAGCATTAGTACTTACAGCTAATGAGTTCACCCTCTATATTAATGATGAAGCTCTGAAGTTCTTAAAACTACTAGAATAATCAGAAGTGCAAACATACCTCTAGGGTAGAGTTCCTCTCTTCTTTTCATTAGCACTCAAGCATAAAACAAGGAGCTAAAAAAAAAAGCAATTGATGTTTATCACTACTGTGTAGTTGAATGTGGTTGATTTTGTAAAGATCGCCAAGCAAAAGGAGTACCAATAGCAAAGTAACAAATTTTGGAAGGCTAAGATCTTCAAAAAAGATAATTTATTCTCTGTTGGTTTCATTAGAA